GGACAGTGAGAGAAAATAGGGGGAGAGAGAGTGAGAGAGAGGAAAAAAATAGAGGGGGAGAAATAGATGAAAAAATCAAATCAAATTTTTACATATTTAAAAAGAAAATAAATTATCAATGAAAGAGAAAGAGAGAGAAAACAAAGAGAAGAAATAGAGAGAGTAACAGAGAGAAAGAAATAGAGATAAAATAGGGGGAGAGAGTCAGAGAGAAATAGAGAGAGTAACGGTGTGAGAAATAGGAGGATAAAGAGTGAAAATAATAAGAATTATGCATAATTTAAAGAAGGGTAAGTAAGTAAAATAAATAAATGGTCATTTAAATTTTGTATCCGGTCACAAGATGTTTTATTAATAACAACTTATTCGTACACTTCCTATAAAATAAAATAAGTCTAAAAAAATGTATTCACACCCAAAAAAACCCTTAAAAAAGAAGGCCCAAATTTGTAAGTTTATAACATCGTTCACACCAAATTTTTAACGAGAAATTTGAAGGCCACTCCACTTTTCAAGATATATTTGGACTTAAGTCCACCCAAAAATTTGTTTGAGAATAAGTTTATTTCAATTTCTTTTGTTCAAAATGCCCTCAGTAGTTATATTTAATTAAAATAAATTTAAAAATTAAAAACTCTTAAATTTTAAGAATTTAACTAACATTAAAATTCTCTTTTCTTTATTTCTCATATTTATCTCTCTCTCTCTCTCTCTCTCTCTCTCTCTTTATATATATATATATATATATCACCAGTGGCCTTCCCCGTGCGATGCACGTGATTATAAATTATCCACTTTTTATTTTTTTTTTAGTTATCCTACTTATAGGAAAAATTTGGGAGAAAAAAGTAATTTTTTTGAGTAAATTTGAAAAGATGCTAGTTAGTTATTAGAGAATCGAGTGGTGGTTCTAAAATGACACATGGTAGGTGTTGATTGGAGGGAATCCTTAGGTTTTGAATTAAAAAATTTAGAATTCTAAGAATTTAGAAAATAGGGAGGGAAGACTTTTCAAGCCCTCGACTCCCTAATATATATATATATACTAGTAATTGTCCGTGCCTAAAGACAAGATATTACTCATAAATTAGTTATAAATATTTGTTCATACATAAATATAAATTAAAATATAACATTATACTAAACGACGAACAAAATGAACCCGCTAATATTTTTTATAACATTAACCTGCATGCAAAATTATGTTAATTGTTACGCCACGAAAATTATGTTATAACTACTGAAACATAATAATTTAAATATCTGAAAAATTATATCAGTTGACAATATTCAATATTCTGTTTTTGATTCAAAATTCACGATTTTAATATTAATAATCAACTTTATATAAATAATAACATAATTTATAACTAATAGAATAAAAATTAAAACAATGCTCCCACAAATAAATTAAGTCTGCAGATGTTGTCAAATGACCAAATATAACTATAAAAAATTCAACCGACTTTCAAAAAATATGACATGACTGTTGAATTTGTATGATTTGAGTTTATAGTAGTGTTTTTAATTTTATATCATTCTTCTCGAATATTTATATTTTTAGTATATTTTCTTAAACTAAACGTTATTTAGTATTGAATTATTTAGTAAAGATTGTTGCTTCGTGTTATTCACTAAATATTGAATTTGTATGATTCGTGTTTATAGTATTGCTTATAATTCGTTTATTTTTATAATTTTTTATTTTTCTCGGATATTTAAATTTGGATTATTTATTAAATATTATTGTTTTGTGTTGTTCACCAAATATTGAATTTTATGATTCGTGTTTGTACATGAATTTAATCTTGTATATTTTAAATGTTAAGTATATTTTTTTTAATATATTTTTGATATCTGAGTTGCCCAATAACTTGAATTTAATCTTGTATATTTTACATATTAATCATATTTTTTTTTGTTAAATTAGATTTTTTGCAAGTTATATTTTTTTTATTGATTATGAAAAAATTAAAATTGAATATTAAATTTGTATGATTTGAGTTTATAATAGTGCTTTTAATTTTATATCATTCTTCTCGATTATTTATATTCTTAGTATATTTTGTTAAACTAAACGTTATTTAATAAACATTGTTGTTTCGTGTTGTTTACTAAATATTGAATTTGTATGATTCATATTCATAGTATTACTTATAATGTTGTACTATTTCTCTGCTTGTAATTTTGTATTATTTTTCTCGAGTATTTAGATTTGGATTATTTAGTAAATATTGTTGTTTTGTGTTGCTCACTAAATATTGAATTTGTATAATTTGTGTTTGTATATAAATTTAATCTTGTATATTTTAAATGTTAAACATATTTTCTTTAATATATTTTTCTTGATATTTGAGTTGCTCAATAACTTGAATTTAATCTTGTATATTTTATATGTTAAACATATTTTCTTTGTTAAATTAGATTTTGCAAGTTATATTTTTTTATTGATTATGAAAAAAAATAAAATTGACTATTGAATTTGTATGATTCATGTTTGTAGTATTGATTGAATGAAAGAGAGAGATAAAAAGAATATTGTCGTGATATATACTATTTATCTAATATTTATTATATAATTTTATTTCAGAGAGAGATATAAAAGAATATTTTCGTAATATACTATCTATCTAATATTTATTGTTTGTAGTATTTGCTCGAATGAGACTTTAATATTTTCGTGAGATACAGAGAAAAATATTGTAAAAAATTGATACTTTTTTCATGAATTTAGCGTGAGAGAAAGATACAGAGAAATGAGAGAGAGAGAGAGATTTGCTTGATTTAAGGAAAAAATTTGAGGGAATTAAATTTCGGAAACTATAAATTTTGAGCAGCAAAAATATTTCAAAAGAGTTAATGTGGTACGTTGGATTAAAATGATCTGAAACATCAATAGCTTGAGACAGTTTGAGATAACACAGTCTGTTGGATGATGACTTTTTTAGTTACGAAACGATTTGGGCCGCCCTTTGTCTCCAAAATTCAAAATCGTTCTACTTTATTATATATATATATATATATTAAAAACACAACAAAATAGTAGTATTGAATATTAGTATTTTGTAAAATAACAGTAGTAATATGCTCAATAAAAAATAGTAACATGTTTAATAAAAAAAATAATAACATGGTAAAAGAAATAATAACATCAAACATTGAACAAAATTGGAGGTCAAACTAGCAACACATTGAGCATTTTTAAGCAACATGGAAAGTTAATGATGCATTCAAACAAAAAATAGTAGCATTAAACAAAAAATAGTAATATTCAAACCCAAAAACAATAACTTTAAAAAAATAGTAACATTTAATCGATACCAATAATTCAACTATGATTAGCTACCAAATTAATTACCTTTCAAGCATTGCAAGTTTAAAAAACATTTCCAAAATCAATAGATTCACCATATGCGTAAATCAACCAAAATCACACCCCCAAATTCATAATATAATTCCATCCAAAAATAACAAACACAATAATTTGAAAGATTTGAATCATAAATAAATCCAAGTCACTTCATCTTTGCTTTTCCATCTTCATCAATGTGGTATGGTTGCATTGTTTTCCCACACACACTTATTTCAACTCGACATTTGAGGATTCGAGATGAGAGAAGGTTTTTGGTTTTGATGCGAGATGACAGAGTTGCCGGAATAATTTCGAAGGAGATATCGAATTGTTATAAGAGAGAGAAAGAGAGAGAGGGGGGGACTCAAATTGCAAGGTGGTGTGGAGAAATTCAAATCCTAATAGAAATAAGAAGACAAAGGAAGAGGCATTGTTCTAGGTTTTGAATTCAATTCATAACATTTAAAGTTGATTCAGTGAATTCAACAACATTTATAGACAAGAAGATGACAAAAGAAGACGGAGATAGATGGAATTGAGACAACCCATGACCACAATGAAACAGACACAAAGATGAAGAGGAAGGGGTGAGATGATGAGGAATTTTAAACATATTTGATGTCAAATTTGAATTTGTATTTGAATTTTAATTTTATGGAAAAAAAATCTTATTGACAGATTTCATTGAGCGTGAATCAAGGGATTAACCGTCTATTAAACTGATTTAACGTTGACAATTGTTTTCAATGTCACAGGAAAGGTATTTTGAACTTATTAAAAAATATTACGCTTAACTACTTACTGAAAAAATAATAGTAGGACTTAACACCAAATATGTTTGTTTAAGGGCATTTCTAACCTTGACTCAAATCTTAACTCAAATTTAAATTTGAGCAAAAATATATAAAAAATTTGTTCAAACCTTGACTCAAACTTATACCAAATTAAGGGAGACTCAATTTTTTACTCAAATCAAGAGAGACTCAAATCCTTATTCAAATATTTAATGGTGAGATTTTACTCTCTTTTAAAGATCTAATGATCATCTTTATTATCTTTTAAATTTTGGTTTGCCCTCATTTAAATTTGAATTTCTTCTTCTTTAAATTTGAGTTTCTTCATTTGAACTTTTTGCATCAAACCAAGCTTTTTATTCAAATATTAATTTAAATTTAAGTAAAAATTCGAGTTATAATTGAAGATGTTATGTGTGATAGATTTAACTCATTATAAGTTTTACAAAGAGGATTTAACATCAATTATCACTACTTTAATTACATCTGTCTGGCCCTGACCCACGGGCCTGTATTCTTGTTTAGGCCTTAAATTAGTTGGACTGGGCTCGAATCTGGACGGACAGCCCGGCCCAGACAGACTTCTATGTTCATCTCTCCTGCCGCATTCTAAAACCCTAAACCCCCTCTCCTCTCTCTTCCTTTCCATTTCTCTCTCTCTCTCTCTCTCTCTGACGCAGGTATCTAAAAAACCCTAACCCCCCCCGCTCTCTCTCTGTGTACGTGTTTTGAAAAGATTTTATAGATTTGAACTTTAAAACTTCATGGATTGTTTACAAAGCTAATATGATGTTTGACTGAGTGATTTTGTTGATGGATATTATTTTAGGTGTGTCTTTGTGGGGGTTTACACAATGCTAGTGCTGTTTGAAACGCCGGCGGGTTTCGCCCTTTTCAAAGTATTGGATGAAGGCAAGCTCTCCAAAGTTGAGGTAATACACGCACATATGTATATGTATTGTATATATGGGTCTAAGGCTCTAACCTTTATGTGCTTGTGGTTGCTTATTAATTGTCGTGATTTTGTGTTTCAGGACTTGTGGAAGGAGTTCTCCACAGCTGAGTCAGCTAGACAGGTCTTTTTATGCTCCTTTTGTTGTAAATATAAGTATATATGTGGATGCGGGTATACTTATTGCATTGCTTTTGATGAATGATGTTTAGATGTGTTGAAGAACGTAGAGATACTCATCCATCAATATGTGTTGAAGAACTTAGATGTTCTCATTCATCGAATGTGTTGACGAACTTAGAGGGTAGTAACTGATCAATTTCAGCAAACACGTGTATATCTTACCATCTTTACTAGGCTGGTTTTGAACAATGTTGATATGGTTGTTCGTGCCCAAAGTTGTCCTACTAACCACTTGTTGAAGTTAGTAAAGGGAGAATTAAAAATAACTGTATAAAGACTAGTTTCATCAAATTTTGTGAGTTGATATAATCTAAATTTAAATGGCTTGGAATTGTAGAGTGTTACATTTCCTTTTGCTTTTGTCATTTGTTTTCGTGGTTGCATCCTATGAGTTTCTAATTCTTGACTTTATGGAATGGTATTGGTTAAATTTATAGTTAAGAGATGTTGATAATGGTCAAGGCAGCTCCATTTTTAATGGCATTGGTTAGATTTATAGAGACGTTGACAATAGTCAATGCAGCTCCAGTTGTAATGGCATTGGTTAAATTTTATAGTTAAGAGACATTCATAATAGTTGAGGCAGCTCCATTTTTTGTTCTACATCATAACAACTCCTTTCTGAGGTTCTTTTTTGATTTTTTTTTTGTTTCTATTTTCCAAAATTCGGCTGTAATCCTTTCTATTATATAGATGCCTTTTCTTTTGGTTTGATAGTCACATCATATAGGAGAAATTATCCCTGCACATATGAATAATGTAAATGTAGTCTAGTTACTATCTATGCCTATTCCCAATGTTGACTGTTTATTTATTGATTGCTTTAACAGCGACTATCACTGTAACTCTTAAAATTAAAACACAACAAACGTGACATATATGTTAACCTTGTCCAACTTTTCTGTTGCATGTTATAACATTCATTTAACTGATGGATCACTGGCAAATGAAAAGATTTGGATGCAGTAACTATTTTTATAGTTTCTTGTATACAAATTCCTTTTCCTGGTTTTTTGTTCTGGGCATGTCTTCTTGTTGTTCAGTCATGGTTTTAATAGTTTGTTGGTGTCATATCAATATTAGGTTGTAACACTAAAAGCATTCTCAAAATTTGAGAACACATCAGAGGCATTGTCAGCAGCCACCTTGTTGATAGATAGCAAGCCCAGCAAAGGTCTCCGCAAGTTCTTACGTGCTCACTGTGATGGTGAAAAATTAGCTGTAGCTGATTCTAAACTTGGAAACTCAATTAAGGAGAAACTGGTTAGATGATACTCTTATCCTTGAGAACTGTAAAATGCCAGTGCCTTGTTCTTCCTGCCTCTGCTTTTGGGCCATTTACATCATATTGATGAATGCCTTGCAGCAAATTGAATGTGTCCACAACAATGCTGTCATGGAACTAATGAGAGGGGTGAGAAGTCAATTGACTGAACTCATATCTGGTCTAGGTGCTCAAGATTTGGCTCCAATGAGTTTGGGTCTGTCTCACAGCCTTTCCAGATACAAGCTGAAATTCAGTCCTGATAAGGTGAATGCATCCTAGTTTTTTTTATCATCCCTATTATCTTATGAAACTGATAATGTAACTCTTTCTTATTAGCTTTGATTGGTTTTTCATTTTAAGTTAAAAATCATACACTTGACTGAAATCCGAACTTGACTCCAAGCAAGTGGATGTTCTCAAGACTATAGGGTTACCAGTATGAGAAAGATATGACTGTTATTAATGATGATCTTAGTACTGGTTATCTATTGCTCGACTTATATATGATGGCTCGCTATGTCCTGTCACTTATATTTCCTGTTCTATTAGGTGGATACAATGATCATTCAGGCCATTGGTTTGTTGGATGACCTTGATAAAGAGCTTAACACATATGCAATGAGAGTTAGAGAATGGTATGGTTGGCACTTTCCAGAGCTTGCAAAAATTGTGCAAGACAACATCCTCTATGCCAAGGCGGTAAAGCTGATGGGTGATCGTACAAATGCCGCAAAGCTTGATTTTTCTGAGGTAGAGATTTGGTTTCTCATACCAATGACTTTGTAACACTGTTATCTAACTGCATCACAGAGATGTTTTCATTCTGGAACCTCATTTTTCCCTTAGTAATACAGTTCTAGGCCACATGCTAGATACAAATGCACCTTTCTGAATTTCTTCCTTAGAAATATCGCCATGCTCTGGTGAATTTGTGTTGTGGAAATGTAAAGATAGTCTTCCCAATATCATGCCATGCAGATCATTTGGCCTCATGTTCAATGGTAATAATGTGCTATTAGTTGTCTTCTGAGAGCTACTATTGAGAAATAGACTGTTTTTTTGCAGAATCCTACGGCTTGAATTGAATTATACAATAAGCTGCTGGCTTGTCTTGTTCTAAATTATTGTTTTTCCATTCCAAAAAGAAAGGTTTATGTGACACATCAAACTTAGGCTTTGGATACTAGTTATTGAAATCAATTTTCTTAATGGAAGCTGACAGACATATTAAACTTCGGTTTTGGATGCTATTTGTATCTCTTAGACCAATTTTTGTAATGTGCCCGTCTTGGTGGATAATGAAGTTGATGCTTATAATTCTTCATTTTGAACTTTCACAGATACTGTCAGAAGAAGTTGAGACAGAACTGAAAGAGGCAGCCATGATTTCCATGGGAACTGAGGTTAGTGACATTGATCTGATGAATATCAAAGACTTGTGCGACCAAGTCTTGGCCCTTGCAGAGTACAGAGCTCAACTCTATGATTACTTAAAAAGCAGAATGAACACCATTGCCCCTAATCTTACTGCTCTTGTTGGAGAACTTGTTGGTGCTCGCCTCATTGCCCATGGGGGTAGCTTATTGAATCTTGCAAAGCAACCTGGAAGTACAGTTCAGATTCTTGGTGCTGAAAAGGCACTTTTCAGAGCTCTGAAGACAAAGCATGCCACCCCGAAATATGGGCTTATTTACCATGCATCTTTAATTGGTCAGGCAGCCCCAAAACATAAGGGAAAAGTTGCACGATCTCTTGCTGCCAAAACTGCATTGGCCATTCGATATGACGCCCTTGGAGATAGCCAAGATAATTCGATGGGATTGGAGAACCGAATTAAGGTGATCTGGATTGTTACTTTAGGATACTGTCTATGCTTCTGTAGTCATTCCCCCTTTTGTTGATTTTTTCTTGAACATTACTTTCTCTAGCTTGAAGCACGGTTGAGGAATTTGGAAGGCAGAGAGCTTGGTCGTTCTGCTGGGTCAGCTAAAGGCAAACCTAGGATAGAATTTTATGACAAGGACCGCAAGAAGGGAGCTGGGGCACTGATAACCCCTGCCAAGGTCTGCAGTTTCTTTGATTCTTTTTCACTTGTTGATCTCTTTCTTTGTAAGGTGTATTTATTTCCTTCTCTTGTTTATGCAGACTTACAATCCTTCAGCGGATTCTGTTCTTGGCCGTACTGAACCATTGGCTGACAAAGAGGAAGAAATGGTCCCTGAGAAGAGAACGAATGAAGCAGAATCATTTGAGACTGAAGAACCAGGAGAGGAGCCTACTGCTATTGATGAAGAAAAGAAAGAAAAGAAGAAGAAAAAGAAGAAAAAGGCTGATGCAGAGGATACTATTATGCCTAATGTGGCTGTGAATGCTGAGCAGGAAAGTGTAGACGATGGCAAAAAGGCAAAAAAGAAAAAGAAGCATTTAGCTGAGGATGCTGGGTTGCAGGATGGTGAAAACGTTGAAGCAAGAGAAAAGAAGAAAAAGAAGAGAAAGCACACTGAACCTGAAGAGGAAGAAACTGAAATCTCAAACAGGAAGAAAGAGAAAAAGAAAAAGAAGAAAAGTGGTGATTTGTAAGAAAGTGTGCACATGATAACAAAGTTCACAATTTTGGTGGCCTTTGGCTGCAGATAGTTGTGCTCACCTATAAGATCTACTGCACCGCGATTTTTTATTTGTATTCCCGATTTTGATGGTATCTCTAGTGTACTTTTGGATTTCATTGATGAGTGCACACATCATTGCTGTTATAAAAATTTCTCTTCCCATATTATGACTGTAAGACAAGGTGTTTTTTTTAAAGGAATCTGGGGATGAATTGCAATGCCATATTTAGGTATTCGTCTCCCTCATATGAACCATTGTTTGAATTGATTTGCTTTATTTTCTGAACATACAAGAGTGCCACTGATCGTTCCAACCAACAGCAGAGAGCTCTTGTAGAATTTTGCAAGTTTTTGATCTAGAGATTTTCATGCAAATTCACTCGATGAGAAGGAAATTTCTATGCTTATAAGATTGTACATTCTGGGAGGTGGCCAGCTAGAGCATCTTGCTGTTATGGACCAACCTCCCACTGAACCAGCTGTGTTCCCCCTTTGCTTGCTAATTCTCCCAGAGTGCTCTTTTGAACGCATAGTTCAAGGACGCGGTATCTGCCCTTGACTCAGAGCATTTTGAGACACATTGGTTACGGCACGGTATTGGGTGATACAACTAAGAAGAAAAAGTTGAACATAACAAGAGATTTAGTGTATATCGTGGTATCGCAAAATTGTATTAGTTGATTTGGTGATGATATTCAGCAACTTGGAGACAACTTGGACAACTCTGGATTTATATGTAACATGTAATAGTATTAACTCAGAAGGTGTCGAGTTAAATATAACTTGACCTACTTATATCGATATCGATCAATACTTTGAACCATATTTAAAAGACATTTTTAGTGTGGGTGTGTTTTATTCGTTTCTCACTACCCACCCAAGAAAACTAACAAATACATAAAAATTGAGATTTAAAATACAAGAGTACTCAAGTGGTAACCCTTTTTAATGGTAATAAAGATTAACCGTAAATCTAGAAATTATAAGTTTGAATCTTGACAATTCTTTGGAGTCAGACATTGAGGGATTTATCCCTCATGAATCTTCTAGTCCCAGCGTGGATGACATGTCCTTCATTGGATAGGGGAGGAGACTAGTTGAAGTATGAATAAATTAACTCAAACACCCTTGATGATTGAAAAAATAAATAAAAAAAATGCAAGATACGTGGATGATAGACCGAACCTTTTAATCATGACGTTTGACCAAATAAGGGGGGCGTAGGAGTGTTACTACTCTATTGTTACATTCAGGGGCGGAGCAAGAAGTTCTTTTATAGTGGAGCTATCTTAAAACTCATTAATAACTTAAATTGTTAATGCTATTATTTATTTCAAAAAATATTAATTCTTAACATTTTTTAACAATATAATTTTATTAAAAGAACGTTAATTGAAAGTACAACTTATATATTCCACGATATACAAAAAAGAGACGATAATAAAAGGACCACACCTTTAAAATCATTAATAATCTCATAAATATTATGTAGTTATTTATATATGATCTTCTTTGAGTTTTTTGAGAATTTATAATATCTTTAATAAACAAAGGTTGTGTCAAGCAATTCTTAGACTCTATGTGGCCTTATTGGAATATAAACCCACTTGGGTGTGTTTTGAGCTATATTGTCATATAATTCTTTTTAGAATAAAATTATTTTAGTTATTAAAAAACCCGTAGAGTTATTAACAAACACCATTGATATCAAATTTAAAAGATAATAAACACAATAATTTATCATTGTCTTTACGAAGTCATTTATAAGAAAGATAAATAATCAAAATTAATATAAATAATTTGAAGAAAAAAAAAACAATGTATCCCAAGTTTATTAAGGCTGAATTTTGACATAGGACCAATTTAATTCAACACAAATAAATTGTTCAAGTTCAATTAAATTGAAGTAATTTAATTCAAATTCCAAATGTTGTGTTCGAAGTTTAATTTTTTATCCACTTATTTTCTAAAATATGAAAGTGCCCCTAAATTTTTTCACAATTTTATAGTGGAGGCAAGGTTTAGAAATTTTTTTAAAAAACATTCCAAGCTTTGAATTGATGCCAAATTTTCAAATTTACATTGGGGGCAACGACCCCCCCATTGTCCCTATTGTAACTCCGCCACTAATTACTTTTGATATTACAGATTTGAATTACGAAAATAATCTTTACATGTTGCTATCATTTGATCTTGTCCACATGGGGACTTGAATTGTGGCATATACCCTTTAACTTCATGGATTTAGTTTGTATCTGTTTTATAAGTTTTTTTGTTGATGAATTCATTTTCTTTTCAAGGTCTCCTTATATATGATTCAAATATAAACCATTACTTCGCTCAGCAACATGGTTTTTGTATCCTGGATATTCTTATACTATGGCCTTGGTTTGGGTAATGTTTTTTGTACACATTTTGTAAATGTAGAATATTTGGCATGTGTTTTTTTTTTTGCTTAAAATCAAAAGTAAAACAGTAAAAAAAAAATTGGTAACTATTTTGGAAAAGTAGTATTTGGGTATTTAATTTGATATATAAGTGTTTATGCACATAAATGTCCTACAATATATACGATTATTTTGTAAAATTAGTGGACTAGGACAAGAAAATATATATATTTGGTTTTGTTTTTAGTAAAATTATTATTTTTTACTCTTTGCGTTTCGAAAGTACTTTTACGCAAGGGAAATTGTTAGGTGGGTTCATCTATAGTACTGAAAAATCTGTACTGCTATGAGTTACAACCGCTGATAAGACAAAGCAACAATATTTCACCTTTTACCAGCCACCCACTCCGTAGATAAATGGGATAAAGGACGATAGATATATATATATATATATATATATATATATATATATATATATATATATATATATATAATATATATAATAATATAAAAAAAATGATTTTTATTTTTTGTGATTGAGATCTATTTAAATTTTACTTTAAAATTAATTTAACGATTAATATTAATATTTCAAATTTAATAGAAAAAATAGGTCCCTAAGAATGTGTTTGGAATAATTTTTTAAAAGTGTTTCTAGAACTTATATTTTTCTTAGGTATTTTTTAAAAAAAAAAAAGTGTTTGAAAATATTCCACCATAATCAATACTACCACCACCGTCACCCCACCACCACCATCACCATCACCACTATCGCCACTACCACCCGCCCACCACTTGCCCACCGCCCCATCACCACTACTACCACCCCCATCGTCCCACCACAACTATTGTCGTCACCCTATCACCACCACTGTCCCACCATCGCTACAACCCCACCACCACCTCTTTCACAACAACAACCACCACCATCATAACCACTATCACCGTCACCCCACCACCACTATCGCTACCGCCACCACGTCTGCCATAACAACCACCACTACCACTGTCGCCTCCCCCACAACCACCACACTCACAACCCCACATCCACCATCACAGCTATCACCACCCTCATCGCCCCACCACCAACATCACCATTGTTGTCGGCACCCACCACCATCACCCTACCAGTGCCCCACCACCACCATCCCCATTACCACCACCACTGTTGCAACTACCATTGTCCCACCATCACCACCACTCCCACCGCCCCCACCACTACCATCACTATTGCCACCCCACTACTACCACCATCACAATCGGTTGTCATCACTCATCACCGTCTCCCACCACTACCATTGCCGCCCACCACCACAACCACTGCTCACCTCCACTATAATCAATTCTTAAATTCCTTTTTACCTCTTCTATATTTGTAATTTAATTTTAAGTGTGAATACAATTATGCTTATTGTTGAATTTTTTTTATTATTTTGTGCCTTTAGGCACAAGAAATAACTAGTGCTGCTATACGGGCTAAACAAACATGCAATGCAACTTATTAAAACTTAATAAGTCTTATTTGTCTGTCTTAATACCAGAAAGAGAGAGAATTAATTGTTATGGCCCAATTTTAATACATCACCAATTTGTTGCCCCTCCATTGAAATATCAGCTGGTGGCTAGAGAATGACATCAACTATCACGGATGTCACTGTTATTTTACCCACTCTTTTTATTATTATTTCATACTAAATCATATCTATATAATATGACAACTAACAACTTGAATCACATAAGATTGAGAGTCCCATATTATATATATATTTAAGAGTATAAGTTTTGGTGAATGAGCCAAGGTTCCTTACTTCGACTCCCTAATGTTGATTTTTCTGAAAAAGACGACTAGTTGAGGGCGAAAGTCTCATATCAACCGGAATTGGGTCTGAACTTTAACTTAATAGATGCAACAAATGCTTAAACAACCTATATCCTCCACACTAATCATCATTGGATAGATTATCCAACTCCGAACAATCTTAGTTATTGGTGGGGGTTTGGTCTTATTGGAGATGCTCTAAGGATAACAATCATAGTTGGTTTTTGAATTTTCTCTTTAGTTTTTGTTTGACTCATGAATTTTCAATTGTCCTAAATTTATTTTTTTTTTGTTCAACAGTCAGGGTACCTGGGTTAACTTACATGTACTTAAACTAATTCTCTATTTAATTCGGTCAAAAATAGACCATTCATGGTGGGACTTGGGTATTTATAAAAGATAAATCCCTCATGATATAGTTCCAAGGGGGTTACCAAATTTCAACTAATGACGATTGAGTTTATAGCTTGTTCTTGTTATCACTTAAGAAAAAAAAATTGTCCCAATTTAATTCTTCAACTATCATTTTGTCTCAATTAAGTTTTTTCATTCATTTTTACCGCAAGATCAACGTTGAAATGGAAAAGATTGGACTAGTTTCTAGTTGATTTAATGATTACAATTGATGAAAGGATTTAATTAAGATAAAGTTGATAATTGAAAGACTAAATTGAGACAATTGAAACTTCAGAGACCAAAATAAAATTAATGATAAAGTTCACGGGACAACTATAATTTTTAGCATTGATTTAATCTAATATATATTTGAGTTCAATGAATTTACACAAAACACCTCTTAAATGTTGTTTCAAAATTTTTTATTTTGTTTTCTCACAACTAAAAAAAGTTTTATTGGATGCTTTCCGTCATAACTTGTAATTTTACTCAAATTATTGTGCTTAGTCTGATTTAATTTTTAACATTTTAATGAACAAACTCAAATTACTTGAAAAGAAAATGAAGCTATTGAGTGACATTAACATGAATTTAAAGGGAAAAACTAGTCGGTGGGAATTTGAATCTATATGAAATGCTTCATTGGTTTGTGTTAGGCCTATTTCAAATTGTGGGCATGCTAAAGTCTTAAACTTAAGATCCAAACACGTATGATTTTATTTATTTGAATCGGTGTGAGGCTCTAAATTGTGACTGTTAAGGGGATTGTATCGAGGTGTAAGGTTACCTCTGAGTTCTTTTCTATGTCTTAGGGTTTAAGAACTTTAAATAGTTTTACAATTAACAACGTAATGGATTGAAACATATAAAGAAAAAATTGAATGCAAAGTAACAAATAAATTAGTTTATAAAGAAAAAATTGAATGCAAAATAACAAATAAATTAGTTTAGGAAGATGAAACAAATATTGTACTTAACATTAATTGAAAGCAGTAAAAATCACTGGAGTGATAAATTACAAGAGAGAGTCTAGTTGCTCCGAAGCAAGGAACAAGTAAATAAAAGAGAGGTTGACTCTATGTAGAGTTTATTGTGTTTGATCGTGGATCATTTCTCTGCAGTCTTGCCTTGGTTATTTATAAAAATGACATTCAACAGTGGATGCCATCTTTTTTGGCCATGATTTTAATTATGACTTTTTTCTTGAGATGTGCATATGTGCGCTGAACCAATTCTAATTGACGGTTCATGATGTTACGTCTCTCCGCTTCTTAGGATTCTCAAAGTCTCTCTTCCTTAGTTGCTCTATCAAGTATGGACTTTTATAGACTCATTCATGATTGTTAGATCTCTTCCATGTGTCACCCTCAAATTTTACTGTTTTTGAATGTAAATAGTTTGGTGATAGATTTTAGTTTTCTTCAATTTGGTACTGACAGGTGTAAAGGGTTTAAAGATGCTTTGATAAAATGAAAGTTTATGTCTCAAGCAGGGTTGAAATTGCTTGTAGCCAATAATTATAACAAAAACACTAAAATAATTGTGACCCAATGTGGATTCGTGAATTTTACAATCGAGCTAAATTTCACTTATAATACTAAAGTAAAAACAAATACGACACAATTAAGCGTTGACATGATCTTCTAAGGAAGGGAAAGAGCAGAGAATTCAAAATTGTCATTCCAAATTTATAGTTGTAAACAATGTCTAATGCACGGTATTTAAATACCATAAATCCCCTTAAAAATATCAAATTTCTTTTTTGCAGACTAATAAGCACAGTGTTATCATTGAGTAAAAACTATATGTTATATGATTAATTTTATTTTATTTTATTTTTTGAAAAATGATACACTGACAAAAAAATATATGACCAAAAAATAAGAAAAACTGACATGACACTCATTTGACTGTGCTCACTAGTCAAAGATTCCGGACAAAATTTTAAAAAAGCACTAAATCAAAATCTAAAGCAGTTTTCTGTATTTTATTTTGTCCAGATTTATAACGAACTTTAAAATTTTGATTCAAAAATTAAGTGTCAAATCAAAATAGAGATAATTGTACTAGAGGTCTCCAAAGTCTGAGATTTATCTCATTTTGAACCTTAATATTTTAATTGTATCATTTTGGTCCCGAAAGTACTGAATATGTTTTTATATGATCTCTCAAACAAACAATATATAAATTACTAATGATTTTTTATTATAAATATATCACGTGATACTTAAATATGAGCAAAAAATAATCTGGGTAGCTCTTAACTAAATTTTGGGTAACTTTTGACCAAAAATATGTAATATGGTTAGTTCTTGGCCAAAATTTGGATAGCTCATGAACTAAACTGTGTAATTTGGGTAACTCTTTGATCAAAATTTGGATAAAATTTTGGTTAAGAGTTATCCAAATTATTTTTTTGCCCATATTTAGGTATTACTTGACAAGTTTATAATAAAAAATTGTTAGCAATTTGAATATTGTTTTCTTGAGAGACCACATATAAACATATTCAATAATTTAGAAACTAAAATGATACAATTGAAATATTATGGACCAAAATAAAATAAAATTTATATTTTGAGGGCCTCTAGTGTAACTAACCCATCAAAATATTATTTAATCTTCTTTATCAATCTAATGAATCATCTTTTCCTTAATCTTTTCTAAAATCATTTTTAAGAAGATTTTTGAAGAATTTACCGGACTTGGAATAAAAATCAAGCTTTGAAAATCTAATTACTACTTTTTTGGCAAGTAGTTACCTTAAATCTAGCCCATGATCCAAAAATTCTCCAAAATAGAAAAAGCTTTCCTATAAATACCATCAACGGATTGGATTTAGATTGATTTTTTTTTTTGAACCTGATTTTAAAAGTCTAAACCGAATTCGATTCGATAATGTGACAAATTTTATTTTCGTAGTTCATATCTGAATTCATTAACAATTCAAAATCTGATTCGAAACAAATAACTTAATTAATTAAATTTTAACAAATTATACCTAAATTTATTTAAATAATTACTTAGTTTTTAATATTTATATATAAATATATAAAAATAAATAATTCAAATCGGGTCATATTCATGATTGGATATAAATATAAATAATGCTACACAATCCAAATAAGACCCAAACAATTACAATCCAAATATATATTGTCCTTTAGATGAGTGAGTCCCATTAATTTTTTCAATAGAATCTATTTATTAAAGAGATGATATGCATTAAAGTTACACTTTTTAAATTTTATTTGAATTGTGTGCTTTAGTCCATAAGTATATTCAAATCTTAAGTAGCGAAATATAAATATTATATACATATTTAAATTCGAATTATTGGTCGATCCGGGCCTACCCGATTGCCACATATAGTAGTGGGGAGTGGAAGTTTGACTCGCAGAAATCGGCAATTACATAGATGGCCGCGACTGCGATCGCTTTATTCTTTACTTCTTTATACCTCCTAGTCCAAGGAGCCAGATAGTCGAAAGCCTCGTCTTGTAAAGAGAATATAGGCAAGCAGACCAAGCAAAGAACTGGGGTCTACTCTGCTGTTGGGTTGCCCTTGGATTCAATCAAGTCAGTAAATCTTAACTCTCTCTTTCTCTCAACTTCTCGATTCATCAGTTCTTGAATTAGGGTTTATACATTTTGCTGTTTATTTCGTGTATCTATCAACATAAGTTGCTCAATTGAATTTTTTCAATTCAGTGTTTTATGATCAAATGAAGAAGGTTTGTATGTTGATATTTGCTGGTTTTTTTTTTTTAAATTTTGCAGGACGTTATTTTATTTACAGATTGGTTGATCGATAAATTAGATAGTGTTTATTGAATATGCTGAGAAATGAAGTGTAGATATAGTAGATGGGGTGCGTTTTTGGTAGAGAGGTTTCCTCAGGCATAGTTCATGAGTCTAAGGAAAGCAGTAGAGAAGCTGAAAGTTATGAGAGAAAGAAGAGGAAGAATCCGAATGTTTCCGAGTTTAGTGACCGTTTAGAGTTGGCGGTGACAACAAAGGTCGATAATGGTAGTGCTAGGTTTGATATTGGTGGGACCCAAAAAGAGGAGAAGGTGGCTGTTGATGGAAGGCAAAGGGGTGAGGGGAGACGGCCGAGGCCAAATCCGAGGCTGAGTAATCCCACTAAGAATAAGCAGGGGGAGCAAGTTGCTGCGGGGTGGCCCTCTTGGCTCTCTGTTGTTGTTGGGGAAGCAATTGAGGGTTGGCTTCCTCGACGTGCTGACAGTTTTGAGAAAATCGATAAGGTGGGTTGCATGTTGTTTTTGTTGTTCATCTGTTCTTGTTTCTCATGTCAGTGGTTTCTGTTCTGTTTGATTGATGTTGGTGTCTTTGAACATGTTTAGATTGGACAAGGAACATATAGTAATGTGTACAAAGCAAAGGATACTATTACAGGTAAAATTGTTGCGCTAAAGAAGGTACGGTTCGATAATTTGGAACCTGAAAGCGTAAAATTTATGGCTAGAGAGATTATCATTTTGCGGCGACTAGATCATCCTAGTGTTATTAAATTGGAGGGTTTGGCCACTTCGAGAATGTCGTGTAGTTTGTATTTGGTGTTGGAGTACATGGATCATGATTTGGCTGGACTTGCTGCTAGCCCAGAAATCAGTTTTACTGAAGCACAGGTGAGACCAAGCAGCTCTTTTTATTTTTCAAGGGAGTTACTTCAATTTTCAAATAACTTTGGTGGTATAACAAACCCTGAAGAATGGTATTTATTTTTGTTGCAGGTTAAATGCTCCATGCATCAGCTCTTTTCTGGACTTGACCATTGTCACAGCCGTGGTGTGCTCCACCGTGACATCAAAGGCTCAAATCTTCTTCTTGACAATGAAGGAATACTTAGGATAGCTGATTTTGGGTTGGCTACAATTTTCGATCCTAATCACAAGCACCCTCTGACTAGTCGGGTGGTTACACTATGGTATCGGCCTCCAGAGCTTCTTCTTGGGGCTACTGATTATGGTGTAGGTATAGACCTATGGAGTGCAGGTTGCATTTTGGCCGAGTTATTGGCGGGAAAGCCCATTATGCCTGGTCGTACAGAGGTACTTGACATGTTTGGATTTTGGATTTGCAGGTTCGGCTAATGATCGCACATAGTTAAAATTGGTGTTTCTTTGATATTAAAGATGTATCATTTTGTTTTTGCTATTGTGGATTTATGTTTCTAAACATAATCTTATAATCTTTTGTGCACCCTAAAATTTTGAAGACCAATGATCGAAATAGAAATAAGAGTAAAGATGTTCAATGCAGTCAATTCTAGGAAATGAATTTTATTTGAAGTGAAGGGACTACAATTGGAATGAACAAGCTTACACTTGGGTTGGGTTAATGGGTTAAAGTTGAAGCATTTTTTTTGGGAAGTGACATCTTTTTGATTGTACTTTGAAGCAAACTATGAAGTATGAATAAATGAAAACAATCTTCACAGTTATACACATCAAATTAACTAAGTACTATAAAATGGGGGCCCTATTGATGCCCGATACTGGGCATGCTGAAATCCATCACTGGCAAAACTTACACGCGGTACCTAGAAGAAGTGATAGTGGTCACAAGTCTGCTGATTATAATACAGTAACACTGATGTTTGCTTGATAAGTACCCATTACACTCATTCATATATTTTGCTACACTTGATCTTAATAATAAGTCAACAAGTCTTGTTTCAACTATTTGGGTGTTGGACGGAACTAAATTGTGTTTTCCCTTATGCACGAGGTTGTTTTACTCTTATCCGTTGGCAAAATTGACACCATTTGTCTAAGCTTGGGAGTGACATTTTGTATAGTAATGACATGCTACACCTGCTGTTGAACCCTTGACCTGTGGCTTTCCAACTAGCAATGGAAGCCAGCAAGCTACAAGTTAGGCTTGTAAGCATAAGCGGCAATTGATTTAGCCAGGGGTTAGTTAAAGATAGGATACTAATGAAGTCACCAGGAGGGGCAAGAATAGAAATTCTTTTATTGCTGTAATTTGATTTTTTTTCTTGGGAAAAGTGTCAAATTGCTTAACCAACTTGGTCAGTTCATTGAGTAGTATTGAGCAGTTTTAACTATGTCTCTATTTTTTTTAACTTCCCATTCTTTGGATTGATTTTAATTTCAGTGAGGTGCCAATGAGTTTGTGGTCCATTTATGCTTATGCCACATCAACTTCATAACCATTTTCTTGATTTCCCATTACCAAATTGGGAAGTTTAGTTGTCTAATGTTCTTTTGGCCCAGAAAAGTTATATACTTAAATAAGCATTTCCATAACTTCGTAATGTATTTTTATCATTTTTTCCTGATGGAAGTAGTTATTCAAGTTTGGAGCATTTGAGTCTGTAAAGTTGTAGAATTGATAATGCATAAGTGTTGACATAGGTGTGAATATGATTGGAATGGTAAATGGTTTTATCCAGGTAGCATACAGTCAACTGCATTGGCTTCAGTTGTAGAGACAAACTTGTATGATGGGCTCTTCTAGCATGGGAACCAGGGTTATATCCAGTTAAAGGATTCATTTTTATCTTAATGTCACTAGTTTGCTTTCATGACAGTTAAACGATTTGTTTTTAGCTTATTGTCTCTAGTTTACTTTCTTTTGACTTTCAAACTGAGATTGTTCCTAAATATATCTCAAGTGCTTGAAATTTCTGGAAGTTATTTTTGGTTCAATCCTGCGTTTTAGCTTATCCAAGGGTTTTGAAAAATATGGATCCATTTACATTTCTTTTGGGTGGCCATTAACAATGATCTTTTCCATTACTAAGGTAGAACAGCTGCATAAGATATACAAGCTATGTGGGTCACCTTCAGAAGAATATTGGAAAAAGTCAAAGTTGCCTAATGCCACTCTATTTAAGCCCCGAGAACCTTACAAGCGATGCATTAAGGAGACATTTAAGAATTTTCCTCCATTGTCGTTGCCATTGATTGATACTCTTCTTGCAATTGACCCAGTAGAACGCAAGACGGCAGCAGATGCATTAAGAAGGGAAGTAAGTGTTTTGGTTATCTATCTGATACGTGTTGCGGTTTCCATCCCTCTTCAGGCTTATATTATTGTTTTTCTTGGATGTTAATGCTGTTATGTTTGTTTCTATTTAGAAAATCCAATATTCTGATATAATTAGAACCCTGGAATAGTAGAGCTTAATAAGACTGGAAGATGATCTCCTTCCTTGCCGAGAAATGTGATCCAATGCATCCAAAAGGAGATATAAGTCCATGTTCTGAAGATTGAAGATCCGAAGTACTGTGCTGACAGCGTAGAAGAGAATTTGGGGATTAATGGAGAAACTTGAATCTTTGTGGCAAAGATTGATTTCAGTGAAATTAGTATGTATCAAAAAAAATGATACCCCAAAATTGGATGAAGAAATGTATCTCCGGATAACAAAATTGGTGACAAAAAAAGGAATCACAGCAATTTGTGAATGACACCCCAAATCCACTAATAAGATGTTTACCAAGAATAGAAACTCATCATAATAATACCATTTCTAGAGAGTAGAGTGGATGAAATTTGAGAAGTGTTGTATGAGATGATATCAATGGATAGCATGGAGTCCCTAAGTCTAAGTGGTTTTTGAGAATTTCGCGTTCTTGTCGGCCAAACATATATATCTGTTGTTCATTTCTAGTAGGCCGGCACAGACCAATCAGGATACATACACACACACATACCTATTGTTTGTTGTTTTACCTTAGATAGAGAGATTCAATGCATGTCAGTAAGAATGTGGTCATCTTTTTGCTGATTGGACTGGACTAAATGGTAACTTTGGTACAGCTGTTGCAAAAAATGTCACTGCTATTTCAATTCCAGTTATTATATGCTCTAAAGTTTTACTTTCCTGTAATGGTTGGACTGGAGCAACATATATGGGGCTGAGGTAATAGTATAAACCTAGGAAGCATGGACACTTCATTTTGGACAGGGTGTCGGTGTCGGACACGCCTGGGACACGGACATGCTTGGACATGTGTCGGACACATTAAAATGAGTGTACGATTTTTTTATTATTAAATTTTTTTAGTACACGTGACCGACATGTTCAGCACACGCTGGAGGACACGTTTTGAGATTTATTTTCAATTTTTTTGAGAATTTTTCGGATAATTTTATAATTAAGAGTTATTTTTATAATTTTAAAGGGATATGAGTCACAATCATAATATAAAAAAAGTTATCATCATTTCATTGAACATAAGACATGAATATAATATAATTTTTGATATGAATACGAACTTATATACAAATGGTAGTCTTTTAATATGAAGGTAAGGGGAGAAAAAATAGGATTACAAATTTAGAACTCTTGGAATTTGATGAAAGTTAATATTACGAAATGGAATATTTTTTAAAGAAAAAGTTGTAGAAGTCATTGATTATTGAATCATGAATGTTAATGTTGAATGTGTATCAGTATATCTTATATTATACTTTTCATGCTATGATATCTTGATGTAAATTTTTAGAATTAGGAAAATAATGAATTAAAAGATTATTATGATAATATTTTTATTTTATTACATGATTTTATATAAATATATGTATAAAATACAAATTATTTAACGTATCACTAACGTGTCCGTGTTCTACTTTTTTGAAAAAATTCGCATCGGTGTATCCGTGTCGCGTCGTATCCGTGTCTCATATCCATATCCATCCGTGTCTCATATCCATATCCGTGCTTCTTAGGTATAAACTCTTACATTTTTGTTAGCAATCCTTTAATTTCAAGTTCCAAAAAATGTATCTTGATATCTTGCCATATTTTTACTGGTGATTCAGTACTTGTAAGTAGGCTAGGTTGTCATCGTGCTTTCATATTCGAGAAATTTGCTTCAACTTTAGGTTAGGCTTTTGTTGAAGTTCAAGTCATGCAAATGACTAATTTATGAGTTTGAGGGTGGAATTTCACCTTTTTACTAGATTCAGATAAAACAAAAATGGGAGCATTGCAGTAATTTGGGGTCATAAAGAAAAATGGCTGAGAACAACTTTAGTAATAGTATTTCTTGGAATTCTGGACACTTCTTTCCATAAATGCTGAGAACTGATTTTATTTATGGAGTCCCTTGCATTCACAAATATGTTTCTATTGTGAGATAAGTCTGCATTCTTTAGAGGTGTGTTTTTTTTTCCCCATGCAGTTCTTCACCATGGAACCATATGCTTGCGATCCTTCTAGCCTCCCACAATATCCCCCAACCAAAGAGATGGATGCAAAAAAGCGGGATGATGAAGCTCGAAGGTGAGAATTCTTTTTAAATGTTCATTTGTAGAGCTCCTATAATCTGGTTATCCTCAGGAGTCTAATTTAGAAAATTCTACTTTTAATTTGTGTGTTTTAATTTTATTTAATTGGTTGTAGTGTATATGTAGATTTTGGATGGGTATAGATGCTTCTTTTCCATCATCACTACTTCTTTTTATTTTTTTTTGGGGTGGGGGAAGAGTAACTGGAGGGCATGATCCCGTGCTACTAAACAAAATAAGAGAGCACTGCTGCAACTTGATTGGCATTTTCTAGCCCGTCCAGCATATCTGTAAACTTACTGGATGAAATGCTTCCAGTTGAAGGCAACTAGCCTTCAAGTTTTTTATCATAATTGTTGTGATAGTGGAATTTGCCAAGGAAACAGATTTTGCATGCTTAATTGCTTATATTTGTATGTGTTCAATTAAGATGAAAGATCATGTTTTGGAGAATTGTGTTGATACTTGTGCTCTCTCTCTCTCTTATTTTTATATACAATGTCTTCTCCATAGGCAAGTAGTTTCCACTCATTACATGTTGTCCTAATTAAATTGCACGCCCATGCAGGCTCAGAGCTGCTAGTAAAGCCCAGGGTGATGGTGCTAAGAAAACACGCACACGTGATCGTGCTGGTCGGGCAATTCCTGCTCCAGAAGGCAATGCTGAGCTTCAATCTAATCTGGATGTATGTCTTAAATGCTGCCTCTTTCAACTATTAGTCTTTTATAATTATTTGGGTTCTGCCAATCGAGTGCAAACTTGTCGGATGAACTTGGGATAATCAGATTATTCTATTTTCCCCAAACTAAAATCAATGTATACTATGATGGTTCGGTATTATGTAGGTAGAGTACATGGAAAGATGATGAAATTTGGAGCAATCAAAAAGTCTACTCTCTGTTTTACAATAGTTAGTGTTAGAAAGAAAATAAACAAAGGAACTAAGTAACAAGAACATAAACGGAGACTGAAACTTGATTCTAGACATCTCTGTTACTGAATTCAGTTGGGTGACACTTCTCTCAGGCCACATAAACCACCATATGAATTATGCTTAAAGGAGAAGAAGTTAATGTTAACATGTCAAAGATCTTATACTAGTTTTGTTAAAAAACAGTATCTATTAAAGGGCAAATAGCAGTTGGCAACCCGAAAGATTAAAAAAATTCTCAATTTGCACCCTCAAAGATCAGTTGTTTCAAATTGCACCCTCAATTAAATAAATTAGTAGCAATGTGACCCAAACCATAATGTTTGTTGCGATTTTCATGCCATCCACATTAGATGCACGTGATGAGTTTTGTCAGATTATGTGGTTTCCCCTTTTTACGTGGGTCTCATGTGCCTGTTAATCTAATAAAAATTGCAATGGACTTTGTGGTTGGGATTATGATCTTCGTCAAATTGACGGCCACGTGAAATACACGCGATGACTTTTGCTAGGTTATGACCCTTCCCCTTTTTCACATATGCTTCAAGTGGCTGTTAATTTGATGAAAATCGCAACGGACGTTATGATTGGGGTCACATTACTACCAATTAATTTAATTGAGGGTGCAATTTGAAATAATTGATCTTTGAGGGTGAAATTGAGAATTTTTTAATCATTCGGGGTGCAAACTGCCATTTGCCCTCTATTAAATGATTTGTTTCTAAATAAATCAGATTCTGATAAGAGGACTACCTGTTTCTTGAAAGGTGTAAATCTAGTTGTGTCAGTACCCCTTTTTCTGGTTGGCATTGATTCGTTTGCGCAAGATTTAAAAGGATGAAGACAGCTAAAATTTGTATTTTTAATTTGTGTGCATCAATAAAACGAAACACACATCTTATCATTGACGAACAGAAGCACAATTAAAGCTTTTTCAGTTTTGAACAGAATTAAGCCTCTAGGATAGCTGGTCTCAAAATTTTGACTTGGATTGGTTGTGATAGTGCTTTAGCTTGTCTGTTGCCATTTGATGCAGAGTTTCACCATATTTCAGGTGTTCTCTTTCTTTGTATCCTTCAAATTTGTTTACTTTGTAACTTCATTTCATAAGCAGCGTCGGCGTCTAATCTCCCATGCAAATGCAAAGAGCAAGAGTGAAAAGTTTCCTCCACCACACCAGGATGGAGGACTTGGTGTTCCTGTGGGTGCTTCCCATCACATTGATCCTGCCTTTATTCCTCCTGATGTGCCATTCAGCTCCACCTCATTCTCGTATTCAAAAGAATCTGTTCAAAATTGGTCAGGTCCTTTGGTAGATCCTGCTGCTATTGACACCAGGAGGCGGAAGAAGCACGGTGCAAGTGATTCACGACAACCAACAAAACTGTCTACAGGCAAGAAGGACAACATTGGCAATGTTTGAGGCAAACAAGAGGAGAGCTTGGTTGAGTTTTGTGGCATACACTGATAATCAGATGTATTGGGTTGGCAGCTGGTGATACAATCCCAAGAGAAGTCGTCAAGCTGTTTGAGACAGGCCTATATAACCTGCCTGGAAAGGCGGTCAAGTGTGTTTAAAGGTGACACGTTATCTTTCAATTTTTACTTAAATCATAAATTTTTTTCGTGGGCGCTGACGCTTCATCAAGTATAAAGATTTATTTAACTTTTTTTTGCTCTATTTGTTAGGTTAGTGAGAAGCTTCCCAATTTTTTTTTTATATATTGATGTTTATCGATCCATTGTGTTTGAAACCAATGCCATTTATCTGCAGGAGAAAAAAACCAAAAAAAAAAACTGCTACAGCTGGTGAAAATATGGATATTCATTTGAGCACAATACCATTGAATCTTTTGTTTGGCATGCTAACTACTTTGAGACAGATATGGCTACTATATTGTGCCCCCTTTCTTTCTTCCATGTAATGAATATAAGGAACTTGTGCTTCACAGTTGAGAACTGTACAATCACTTTGGAGGTTTGAGGGGTGTCTTGAAATGCTTCTATCTTGTTAGCAGTCATTTCAAATATTGTTTTTTAAGTTAGAAACATTGAAGAGGAGGCAGATCCTTGACAATTGGGTGTTAAAAGTCATCGACTCAAAGAGAATTGAGGTGGAAAAGAACTAGAATGTTGCAGAAATACTGTCTGAACCATGGCAACCAAATAATTACACCTCAGGTTGAGCAGCCTCCAGTGAATCAGGTAGACATTGAACATGCTATTGTGCATTATTGCAGGACATAATGTTAATCTAAAATTCCATGTATGCCATCAAAGCTATATGGATTCGATTCTCCTTTTGCAATAAGTTTGACAGGCATAACAGAGCATTTCTGTGCGATTCGACTCCTTAAAAAAAGGAACATACGCCCCCTGAATCGGGTTGCTGTTACTTTCCCCTCTGGAAAAGGGATTAGGTCGCGGCGTTGCTGGGACTTTTCTTCCTTGGGCTTGTTGAGAATTAAGCAAAATTACTATACTGGCGTATACTCCAGTACTGTAACTTCCTTTGGACAGACTTCATCTTTAGCAGAACCTTCCTGCTCTCCTACCTTGCAAAGGTCTTCTTGGGTGGGCTTTTAGTTCTGAAGACATCAAATTAATGGAATACTGGCTCAGGCCACAATTGTCAAACCCTGATCCATTTTTCCAAATATTTAGAGCGGTAATAGCCTCCATTAGAAGTAAACAGTACAATCCTCAAATAATGGCTCAGCTTTGACGCCAATGGTATGAATAATAATCGCGTAGTATTATATTAAATAGACTATTCGGTCACATTCCCTTATTACAAATAGTAATGCAACCATCAGACTTTATTTAACAATAAAAAATGAAATTGACAGTTTAATTATTCGCGAATTTTCTCGTAACCTGTTAATTTGGAAAAAAAGAAATAATATAGAATGAGCATCAATAAATCAGTAAAGTAGTTCAATTTTCAGACAAATATTTAAAAATATATTGTTTAGCATGATTGGTTGAAAGTGAAACAAGCATTTGATACATATAGATGAGTGAAAATGTCATTTCATGTGATACGGTAACAGTTAAATAAAATAGTAAAAGAGAGTTTAAAAATTCAAATATATTGTTACATTGATGCGCAATCATCATAATAGACTACTTAGGATTAATATGAACATACGATCTAACATTTTGGGGGACTTTTATCCCGAGAAATATACGCTCTTTAGTTAAAGTTCAGTATCCAAGTCTGAAGACCAATAGAGCCACCTAAAAATTTACGAACTCAATGAATATCTTCTATGACCTCAAACTGGAATGTAAGCCCTTTTGTCACTCGACTTGTGAGCACTTAAATTTAGTTTAAAAGGATTGTTGTATCTCGTTTTGTACAATCAATCAAATCGTTTCAGACAACAGTGTGTTATCGCACTTAAAACCCTAATTCGGATCCGTAATTTCAATCAAATTTCAATAACTCAATCATAGGATTTAAAACATACTAGACATTCATAAATAATGTAAGTCATAAGCTAAAAACAAGTTTGAAATGCTTTGTCTGATCCAAAATTGAGAAACCCTACCCATCTTGGTATTTTTATTTGAAATTACAAAAAATTAAACAATGTTATTTTTTGATGAAATTCGACCCACATAATCCATTTGACTAATTATAATGAATATAAAATTTATTTGGAAAAAATCACCCAAAAATTAGGTCAAATTGGTCCCGGAAGCCAAAATAGTTATTTTACTCATCATTTTGATCTGACTATCGGATCGACTTGAAATTTTATCAGGACCTTCAAACGAACGTTATGGAACTTTTGGCATCAATTAGAGGTCAATCGGACACCGGATGCACCCTTACTCACTGTTGGGGTATCCAGTGGTCCTCTTGGTCCACTTCATCTTATTCCTCAAGAAATCTTAAGTTCCTCCTTTCTGTTTTAGGTATCTTATTTCTCATCTCTATTTCTCACTCCACATGACACTTTTTGCTCTTGTTTCAAAGCCTACTAACTCATATCACACTTCTATGTGGAACCCCATAGGTGAGATACCTCAAATTAACCTCTAACCTATCAAAATATTGAACTAAAGTTGGAAAAAATAAGGTTTTTTAAACATGGCCAGACCTGCAACTCGGGTTTTAACCCCCTTAACAACCTCTAACCCAAAACTAACAGTGAAAATGGGTTCCTTGTGTCCATTTTAGCCTAAAGACCATATCCCCCTAACATCAAAATACAAAATTTAACAAAGTTTGATTTTCAAAACCCTTGAATCTCTACTTCGGTTTTAAACTTCAAACCACCACCACCAACCATGACGGCTCTCTAAACCACCACCAACTTTCACCTTCAGCCTCCAACAACCAACTCCAAGCCTTAGATTAGGCCAAAGCTCCCTCAATCTTTGAACCCGCTTCAGACTCATTAAAAATTCGAAACTTTAAAACAAAAATTCTTGCATAACCTCTTAACCAAAACAAGTTATAATAATCCATTGAACTTCTAGCATCCTAATTGAGCTAGAGGTACACCTTTGATCATTCTAATAGGCCTCCAAAGAAAATCTAAAAATTCAAGTGAACTTTCTCTCTCTCTCCTCTCTATTGATTCTATCCTCTCCAGACGATAGGTTAAGATTCAAGACCTTCCTAAAAGATTCTGGAGGCTTGGAGAAGAGTGGGGCGACAGCAGCTTGGGTATAGCTACCATGCAAGGGCAGTTTTGTAATCTTTCCCAAAATTTGAAAATTAATTTTAAATATATATTTTTTTAACATCAAATATACATTAAAGTATTCCCTAGAAAATTATTCCTTATATTTTTGAAATCCTAAATAGCCTCCAATTCATCCCAAAATCTCATTCCCACACTCGACTTACTGGTATGCATTAATCCTTCTTCACCCATTTGTGCTTCCACGCTCATTTCCTCTTTACCAACCACCTTCCTACAGCTAGTAGACCTCCTAACCATCTTCAGAACATCTACGCACCACTCTAAAGTCATTAGTTTAGAGTTAGGCTTCCCAATATTTGAACTCCTAACCACAGACTCAAATCCTAATCCCTTTTTTGATCTTCAAACACAGGGTTATTACAACAATTGTTTTTGCAGATTGACAATTGGTAAGGTGTTGGCCCTCTTGGGTAAGCCATTAAGGCACGCTAATTAATCAGGAGCTCTCTTGATTGTTATAAAAGATTGAAAGCGTGTTTTGTAAACATTTTTTCACATTGATAATCATAGGTTTGAACCACATTTTCATTTAAACAACGGTAGCATGTTACATAAATTAGAACATGTCGTATTAAGATTAAAAAAATTCAAAATTACGATAGGATGACTACTGATTCTACCCAATCCATTACCCAATCTTGTAGAATCAAACATTCTATCTGCCAGTTTGGTTATGTATGAACAATTGGTTGCCTACTAGGGCCCTCCAAAATCCCAATCCTATTTTGAGAGAGAATTTTCATTCTCTCCTGTGAAAATCCTAGTCTTTCATTCATAATATTTCCTCTTTTCTTTTTTTGGATTCTTTGAAACAAGATTGATCATCTTAAGTTACTATCTAATCCTACACAGTGAAACTTCAAATTGCAGGCAAACTTTTCACCCAACCACTGTTAGACCCCAAGGGCATGTTTGGTTCGAATAGCGGGGGGTGAGATTGAACTACATTAATTCAATGTTAACTAAATAAAAAATGTTTGGATGAAGTTGTAGGACGTGGACTTCTACCATAGATTAATATCAGCCCGATATTATAATGCCAAATAACACCACATACACGGTACAAACTAGTCCCATGGAATATGTGGTATAACATCAATCTCAATTAGTATTAACATACAAGACAAACAACCATTTATATGGATTTCAATTTGATTGGATGCAAAAGTGTTTTTTGCCCTTTTCAATTTAATACCGTCAGTTAACTTTCAATCCAAACATGAAGTTAGTCTTAGGACAATAAACTCATACCTTATCTCAACCTTAAACCCAACATAATATAAATTGAATAGATCAAATTGTAGACTAGCTGTTATCACCTGTATATATTAGATTCTAATTAATCTCTAATCTCATCTCACATTATACCCAAACCAAACACACATTAATTCTAGGAGAGGGGTATGCTGTTCGATATAACTAGAAAAATGAGTGATATTCAAATATCATATCAAATATTCAACTTTAATTGCTCAGATATTAATTTCTTCTTTACAGCATTGCTATCCCTGGTTCAAATCACAAACATGAACTCCCCACTTCTGGTATTAAGACTATGTACATCTAACTCTCTTCAAACCTCGTAGTAGTGGGCTTCTCGCGCACTAGACTCTCCTTTTTAGACATTATTTTCTAATAACATTTTGCAATTGGGGAAAACAAGTGTTTTAAGTAGTTAATACCCGGTGTCCCTCTTTCACTGATTTCTGAAAAGTGGATAACAATTTCAACCAAATAAATATGGATAAACTCTCGAGTCAGCTTGGCATATAAACCCTTGAATGATTGATACATCAAGCAACCCCTTGAATGATTGATGCATATATAAGATGATGTATTCATGACAATTTATCTTCCAGAAGCATCTGTAAAGAAGCTGAGATCTATGTATGGACTTAACTATTCTTTCACTCCTCTTCTTCAGACGCTTCCATAAGCCACTGCACCAAAATGAGAATTAATTATTCAGAATCTGATGTACAATAACAATCTTCCTGAACTGCACATGGACAAGGCATGCCTAGACATCAAGATACACATTTTTTTTAATAGTAAATGAGTGCCGTATATTAACCATGTAGATAGCATGCCTACATGGTTTTTCAAAGACTTATAATGAAATAGCTTGTATTTCCAGCCAAGTGAATAGAGAAACAGCGTAAATGATTCTCCTTTTGCACTGCCCTACATAATGTTATACAACTACCAGATAACGTTAGAGGGAACACGTATTAGACCTGAATTTATACAGTAGTTGGCAAGGAGCTCTTTTTTTTAAAATTTTTTTCCCCACTGTGGGTGTGATCTCCTCACTCTATTAAAATTAAAATCAGAATATCAAGCAGAGAAGGGAAACTAAGTTCAACAAAATCAAGTACGTTAGGCGTAGGTTTGGAGACCAGAGGAAATTTTCCTTGTGGGCACAATTGAACATAAAGATTCAGCTATTGCTCTTGTATTGAGTGCTACATCTTCGTAAGAGATGGCATTTTCTGGTTAAGAGAGGGCACAAGAATAAT